ATCATTTGCGGTCCCTATCGGGGATCATTTCCGGTCCGGGATCATTTGCGGTCCAATTTGGGGATCATTTGCGGTCCGGGATCATTTGCGGTCCTGGCATCATTTGTGGACCCGTACAGAACTCCTTGATCCAATAGTATTTCTCTCATCTGAATTTATACAGAGGATGCAAGCTGCACAGTAAGCTTGAGTGTTACATTTGCCTAAGTAAGGAAGTTAGTTTTTACCCACATTTAAAAAAAGTACCGTCGCGTCTATTTTATAGAAACAGTTTTAAAAATGAATTAAAAAATTCAATTGATCGCTAGATTTAAAGCACTTTGATAACCACGAATAGAAAAAGCAAAACAAGGCTAGGGAATTATTAATTTTAAGCCTCGCTACTAAAGGAGCTTAGACACTATATTTTGAGTTATTTTGGCTGCGAAGGAAACCCGAAAAAGTGGTCTACTAAGATAGAAAAACACCAAAGAGATAATAGTAAACTATAAAGGAACAAGGATGGTTAATGATGGAGAAGATTAACAAGGATTACAAACGACGAACTTGAAAAATTTAGGTTGCGCTTTTCAAGATGTACAAACCGTGAAACTTTAATATCTAAAGATGAGCCAATTTTAAATGCAAAGCTCTCTTTCAATCAATCAGTCAATCAATCATTTTACGATAACTGCAGAAATTTTCGCACGCTCATTGGCTAATTTTCATTGTCAATAAGCGGACAGACACATGAATTTATAATTTATGCGATGCGTCAACGAGCGAGAGCGTCAACGAGAGTTTTTAATGCGGCTGTCCTATTATTGTCAATGAAATTCGTCATAACATTGTCATAGTAGTCACAGCTACTTTGACAATGTTATGACGAAATTCATGATCAATAACAAGACTGACACATGAAAAACTGACGTCAATTTGTTAATTTATTAGTGTCAAAACTTTTGGCGAGGTTGCTGGCTCGGATATTGCGGTCTTTCGCTTTCGAAACAATATCGTGAGTTGTTTTATCTGACCGAATCGAAAAAAGGCTTAAAGTGAGCGAATTAGTTAAGCCCGTTGTCAAGGCAACCAACGGTTTACAAGATTTGCATTTGAAAGAACTTTCAATAAAAATTCAACACAAACCGTGCATTCTGAAAACAATGAGATATGTAAATAGATATACTGGTGTGTGAAACGCTTACTGCCTACTATAAATTTTTCATGTAAGGTCCGAAGGCTTTTAAAATTGAACAAGTCATGAGCGAAAATGTGTCTTTAGATGAAGAAATATTAACAGATAAAAACAGTGGCGAAATTGCCGGCGAAGATGTTGCGAGTCGTGACTGCACAAATCAAATGGAAAAGAATTCGACTTCCATAGAAAGTGAAGCGCCTGAACTGAACACTAACGAAGTTGTTTCTGGCTACAATAATGTCGAAAGAAATGAGGAGGCTCTAGAGAATGACATTGGCGATTCACATTTCGAATCAAGAGTAGCAAGCTTGTCGTTGAATTCTGACTGCACAGAGAAAAGTTACGTGACGGCTGACGGAGAAAAAGTTGAAGATAATTCGCCGGCTTCAGCGAGTTGTAAGACTGACGCAGTCGCTGCCGCCGAAAACTTCGAAGAAGAGCAAATCGGAATCCCAGCGCCTGAGGAGAATCCCTTCTTACAGTCGGTAAAATATTTGGAAAAGCATCAAATTTTGAGACTGTTTCAGGTGAGACTTGTGTAGCGAATATTTTACCATGCCGCCATCAACTCCAGTGAAACCGCATACGCAAAACACAAGCGGCAGAGCTTAGTAATTTTATTTTGGCTTTTGTCGATCATTTAGCAGCACGATCAAATTTGTAAGCGTTTATTTTTCTCAAGCGACTGACGTACATTTCCTTGTATTATTTTATCGGTTAGAAACCAACCGGCGTTAAAAATAAGACCATGAAAGCACCGGTCAATAGCACGCAAATGATTAACATAATAAGTGATCTTTTCATGGCTGCTTTACAAAATTAAAATTGTTGTTACTTAAGTTACATTTTGAAAAGTGAGATGTTCCCGAATTGGGTATCATTAATCAAAATACTATCTGCTCTATTCATAATCATAAGTAGAGTTTCTTTCTTGCTCTGAACAAATCACTAGCCAAAATCCTACAGGAATTCAAACTGATCACTGTTCAAAGGAAATACTTCTTAAGGAAACAATACTAACCCCTCTATTAAATGCAGATTAGATTTTTGTACTTTGCTCTGAAACTAGATAAGGTTTCAAGTATTTTATTAATGATTTAATCTGTTAATTCCATCCTATGGATAAAACGAGATATAAGTAAACCGACCAAGAATATATTTTTTGTGTGTTGAAAATTTGTAAATGCAAAACAGTTATGTCCTTTTAACTAAGCCGTAAAAAGTTCTTTTATTCTCTTAACGGCAAAACTAGCCAAAAAAACAATTAAAGCAGCTCTAGCCGTATGCTCGATCCTAATAACATTTTTGCAACAAGTTATGTGTATCATATCAGGCTTCTGGCTTTGCTTGTAGTCTGGCTCCAAAATTGCTTAAGAGTTTACTAGAAAATTTTACTATAAAAAAAGTTTACTATGAGTAAATAGATAACAGGCCTGATTGACTAACTAGTGACTGACTCCCTGAGACCGACTGACTGACTGACTGGTTGCCTGTTTGCCTGTTTGACTGTTTGACTGTTTGACTGTTTGACTGTTTGACTGTTTGACTGTTTGACTGTTTGACTGTTTGACTGTTTGACTGTTTGACTGTTTGACTGTTTGACTGTGTGACTGTGTGACTGTTTGACTGTTTGACTGTTTGACTGTTTGACTGACTGACTGACTGACTGTCTGTCTGGACATGACTGACTGACGCGATATGATTGACTGGTTGACTCACTGTCTTGTTTCGTTACAGAATTTCGCCGCCCAAATTGTGTACAACAGACCTGACAACCCGCTACAGTATTTAGTTGACGAGTTGGAGAGGTCCAGTGAAGAGGCGCTGCAGGTCGCAAAAGAAAGCAAAGAACCAGTCACACCATCACCTGACTTGTTTTCGTGACAACCGCTGGCCAGCAGATACGGGAGATGAGCCGATGAGACTTACTTCAGCACACGAAGTTTCGAAGTTCCACAAGCTCTCGTCGCCTGGAAACAGCCGATCAGAGACTTACTTGTCGCAATATATTGAATACCTGAATATGCAAAAATGCTTTAGGAAAACTCAGCAACTATGTTAACAAAGCATTGTAAATGCACTTCTTGTTTGCGGTTCACGCCTCGAACCCAAGTAGTAACATGCATTTTTCGTCTATTGAGGAGAGAGTAAAGGTATTAAGATTAAAAATATTTTTGCAGAGAGAATGAATGACTGAAAATCAGCATCTGACGGTAGACAAAATTAAAGACCTGAATCATGAACTAGAAGATTTTATGTTGATGTACAACCAAATTCTCTGCCAAATACTTTGGATGAAAATGTTCCCTCATTTTTCACAATCAAGTCGTACAAGATTCAGTTTTTCAGATCACTTGATTCCTTATTCCTGATTTAAATCTTTTCATCCTGTTTTCTTCTTTCTTAGGGCGGTTTTCAATACTAAGTGTCGTAAAACCAAAACCAAAGTAATCACTGTAGCTAATCACAAAGGACGCAAACAATACAGTGAACCAATCAATCACGTTTTACTTCTGATTAGATAAAGAAAAAGTGGCGCGACTTTTTTAAACCAATCATGTAGAAAACTCCGTGTTAATGTTAGGTAGTTTGGCCTTGTAGGCGACTTATGTCCTTTTGTATTTGAATTTCTACCTGTCACTTGGCAAATTTGTAAATAAATAAATAGATGAAATATAAATAAATAAATAAATGAATGAATAAACTAATAAATATTTATTTTCGCTTTTTGTCTTGAGCATTTCATTGTTAATTTTGCCGAGTATTTTGCTGTACTTATTCATGTCCTTGTAAAATCTGTCTTCAATATCAAAGTTTTAAAATTAAAATAACGCGAGAAAAAACGAAATAAAGAGAGAACTGCGCCATATTGGGAAAAGCCACAATCTTTTCGGGTACGACCTGCATCAGTGTTGAAACCGTTGTTCTTTTTTCATCATTTTATGCGGTATGCAAATTTGTGGCGCATAGTTGCCCCGGGAGTAATGTATCGTGGCAGCTTCGTCAACAACATTCTTTGCATCTCATTATTAACACGAGCGCTTGTGAAACTTCGAAACTTCGTGTACTAAGTGTCAGAACCGCTCTTCAGCTTGAAGGAATCTTCAAAAACTGTCAACGTTCTACATAACAGTACCAAGAAAGACAAGAGAAGTCATTAAGCATCGATTTCGAATAAAACTTCTCCGATCGTGAAGGAAATCAGAGAAACCGGCTTAGCACGCGGTGGGTTAGTTCACGTCACCGAACTGTTTAGAAGAACCTGTGCGTTCGTAACCCACGAGAAGAAAAGTAATAAATCGTCAATCATCGACGAGATCTGAGTTATCAACAACTTATCAACAGCGTTAAAAGTTCCTTAGAACGGACAGATCCGAACACAGCAGAAGTTAGCTACACGCAGGACTACACCACGATCAACATGGCAGAATATTTAATAAGTGGTCACACAAGCTATGTGCCAGAAGACGGGCTCACCGCGAATCAGTTGTTTGGTAACGGCGCAGGTTTGACGTACGATGACTTCCTTATTTTACCGGGATTCATCGATTTCACAGCGGACAGTGTTGATCTCACATCGGCGCTTACAAAAAAACTTTCTCTGAAAACACCGCTTGTCAGTTCGCCGATGGACACCGTGACAGAATCGAAGATGGCTATTGCCATGGCCCTTCATGGTGGTATAGGTAAGAGGTGAAATGACCTGTTTGTGCGTTGCTTGATGTCTACGAGAAAACAAAAATCTTCTGAACTTTAGGGAACAAAAGAAAACAAGAAATCGAAGGCATCTCCCCCCGGTTCATGTATAATTTTCTCGTCCAAATGCAGACCTTTCAAAGCAGACGTTTTATACAACTTCCACTGTTTGCATTATTTTGGCGTGCACTGAGTCACATATAGGCTCTCTATTTGCACTTTTAAAATTTATATTGCGTTAATTATCCATCGAAAACCTCGCAATGATCAACAAACAATATTCATACAACTTGTCACGCAACAAAACAATTAACGTTGACGTTCGAGTTCATCACTCCGTTATCTTTTCAGACCATCAAATTAGCTTATTGTTGGTTTGGTTTGCAAATTGAATCATGTTTATAAAATTGCGTGATAGTTTGATTCTCGGTTATAAATTGACCATGTTACAGTTTATATTAAAATGCAGCATTTTTCCACTTCTGTCACTTTGCGTGCGCATAAGACGAATCAATTGCTTTTATGGAAAGAAGACGAAATCGAGCCTTACTGGCAGGAGATTCGCACCCGGGATGGGAGAGCAGTCGAGAGCCGATGGAGCGAACGAAGTCGACCGTCCGAAGGATAGCTAAACATTTCTTCCCCCCTCCCCTACCCCACCCCTTCCCGTCTTACTACACCCTTGCTCTAAACAACAGCAAAAGATTGGACAGCGACACGTTTCACAGTTTGTTTGCGTTCGCGAGTGCACTGACCAACCTAAAGAATATGCAAACAAAAGTGTCACGCAACGCACCTTTGGAGAAGCGTTACGTGTCTTACGGCTGCAAGTATCAGTAACGGAAGAATTAAACCTGATCTTGCCTCCGTCTACTGGTCTTTTGTCTGCCAATTTACTCACCCAGTTCTGCGACGGATCAGCAGCTTGACTCACCGCCTTGTTGCTGTGGTTTGACACATCTTAGATTCGTTTTTTTTTGTTTTATCCCATTTTCTAAGGAATACTCCATCATAACTGCAGCATGGAATTCCAAGCTAACGAAGTTCGCAAGGTCAAGAAGTTTGAGCAAGGATTCATCAGTGATCCCATAGTTCTTAGCCCGGGTCACACTGTACGTGATGTCATGGACATCAAAAAGAAGTGTGGTTTTTCTGGAATACCGCTGACAGGTACGTTGCTGTGATCAGTTTCACATGGGAGGTCGAACGAGGGACTGGGTCGAGCTCTAGTCGGGGTGTGCTCTTGCTGTGTTCTTGGGTAAGCATTGCACGCGACTTGTGCGCCTGAAAACAGGATTCAGCAGGCGGAAAAAACTCTACTGTCCTGCCGTCAATGTTTTTGAACGGGAAAGGCACTGACGTCGCTGCAACTTTTCTCACTGGAGACGGCGTTGAATATTTGCGGAAAGGAATTTATAATTTCAAAAACCATATCAGATTGCAAAACGTGAAAAATATGAAACATTTTGTGTCTGCAAGCTTTTGGTTTGGCGCTAAAAATTGGTCGCCTGCGTCCGGCAACTTGCTTGTCGCTCGTCTAGTGTCGCCACGTACCTGATTAAATAGTTAAGTTATTTTGAACAAAATATGCTGTTCCTCGTCAAATTATACCCAGAATTCTCGAGTTAAGCATCAGAAGAGGCCAAACGAACTTTAGTTTTGTCTTTATTTTTGTTTGCTTCGAATATTACCGTGTCGTTTCGGTAGTATATAGGAGAGCTAGGTTTTGAGTCCCGCTCGTAATGTAGAATGGGAGGCGCTTTTGACCAATAGGAATGCTTGTTCTATCTGCTAAACACTTTTCGCGCCTTTATCCAACTGACCATCTGCTGATTCTTATTCAGATTCTGGTCGTCTCGGCGGTGTTTTAGTTGGAATTGTCACGTCACGTGACATTGACTTTCTCAGTGAGGATGACTACGGTTTAACGCTGGACAAAGTCATGACACCGTGGGAACAGCTTATTGTGGCCCATTCAGGATGCACGCTAAAGGAAGCCAATCAGATCCTTCAAAAAAGTAAAAAGGTATGTTGTTATACACTTGGTTGGCGTACCATAGAGAGCTCCTCGTTGGAAAATCTCTATTAAGTGAATAACGCTCTAACGTGGAATCCCTATGAGCGCACCCTTTATCTAAAGCAAATACGCTTCTAAAGCCCCGGCCAAACGATCGCAACATTTCAACGCAACACATTGGAACATTGTTGGGCGCTACATGTTGCGCGCGTTTGGCCACCCTGTTGCGACGTGTTGCGACATGTTGGGTGTTGTTGGCTTAAATTTGAAACTGGCAAATTTTTCATGCAACATTTGGAGATGTTGCATGATGTTGTAGTCGTTTGGCAAGGTGCGTGCAACGATATTACGCCCGAGCATGCGTACTAGTTCGATTTTCAATGCAACATGTCGCAACACGTCGCAACAGGTTGGCTAAACGTACGCAACAATGTTGCGATATGCTCCGTTCAAATGTTGCGATCGTTTGGGTGGGTCTTAAGAAGCTGAGCTTGTCTAAAGTGGGCACATTTCTGGAGCAGACTCTTATCTGAAGCGGATCCTTTGTTAGCGCTCTAAGCTTACACCTCTAAAAAGATGACCTCCGATCCTCCACGAGTCCAGCCCTCTCTACACGGCTCTTCATTAGTCCTGGATCGTATCTTTCACAAAGACAAAAACCGTAAGTTCGATAGTTTGAATTATCCCCGAGCTCGTATCCGAGTTGGCTTTATCGAGTAACTATTGACACTATTTAATTTTTTTTTCCTTTAACAGGCAAAGCTTCCCATTGTCAACGATAACGGAGAACTAGTGTCGCTGATGGCGCACACGGATCTCAAGAAAAACCGCGAATATCCCCTGGCGTCAAAAGATAAGAAGAAACAGCTCCTGGTCGGAGCCGCGGTGGGCACGCGTGAGGAAGACAAGCACAGAATCGAGGCTCTGGTGCAAGCTGGTGTCGATGTGATTGTACTGGACTCGTCCCAGGGAAACTCGACTTTCCAAATCGATCTCATAAAGTACACCAAAGAGAGATACCCGGATCTTCAGGTTAATATGTCATTTTTTCACAATAGCTTTCTTAGTCAAGATACGTGCGAATCAACAATTGCAACTAACAGACTCTTCATAATTTTAGCAGGCGTGCTAATCATTATCACAAAAATGTTTCGTCTCCTTGCTTTTGCGTAACTGAAAAGCATTTCTTAAAACTATGTAGACCTGATGCACAGCCGGATATACACTGTATACACTCATGAAAACGACTGTAATGTAATTTGAAAACTGAAGTAGAAGGAGTTAATGTGGTTGCTGACAACAAAAAATATCGATCTTGTTCAGGTTGGGGTTAACAACAAAATTTCTCACTTCGATGTTGTGCTTTCAACTTGCGTGGAGTGATGATGTAGTGGCGAAGTACAAAGAAATACTGACGTGTTCCAAAGGCCAAGCAGTACGCCCTGTAAAGCTTTTAGGACTAGCTCCACAAAACATTAACTTGCGGTTACGATTAGGGAGGGCAGGTGGAGTTGGGCAATTTCCAAAAAAAAAAAAAAGATCGAGCTAATGCTTTTTACTAGCTAGGGTGTGTTTGGAAAAAAAATTCTTGCACAAGTTATTGCTTACCAAAAAACATCATGCACAACCTAAAGATGACAAAACAATTTTATCCCCCAGAAAATTGCCCAACCTCCCCCACCCCCTCGGGGTTGAAAAATAATGGTTCGTCCCTTAGCTAAGTGATTTTCGTACCATTTTTTCTTCGCAGATCATTGCAGGAAATGTTGTAACCGCTGCCCAGGCAAAGAACCTCATAGACGCGGGCGCAGATGCATTGCGCGTGGGAATGGGAAGTGGTTCAATTTGTATCACACAAGAGGTGATGGCAGTCGGTCGGCCCCAGGCTACAGCCGTCTTCCGGGTCGCGGAGTACGCGCGAAGGTTTGGGGTACCTGTGGTTGCTGACGGCGGAATCAGATCCGTTGGTCACATTACCAAGGCGCTTGCTCTCGGCGCTTCGACCGTCATGATGGGCTCACTCCTGGCGGGTACCACAGAAACCCCTGGCGAGTACTTTTTCTCGGATGGCGTGCGACTGAAAAAGTATCGAGGTAAGGATTAGGTTGCCTGTAGTCCTAACCTGCTTTCAAAAGTCCATACTTGCTATAAAAGCTGTAGCAGAAATAAGTAACTTGCAGCTTGACTTTAATTAGGATTTCCGCATTATAAATATAATTGGAAAATTACAAGAGTACTCGGCCTGACTCAGCGGGCTTGACATGCCATGATATTACCGTGTTTATTCAAGTTCAACAAACACATCACTGCACGAAAACAAGTCTATTCTCCCGTATGAGGAGCAAAATTTGCTATTCTTGATATTAAACTTGTTTATCAAGTCTTTTTCCTTGATAAAGCAACTGCACAAAAAAAAAAAGTTCAAGAAAGAGAATTAAAAGGTAATTCAAGTCCCATGAGAATAGTTAGCCGCTTTTCTTTGTTAGTGTCTTCAAAAAATACATCAAGAAATGGACAGAAAAATTGAATGTGAGAGCTATTTAATCTGGGCGAAAAAGCTATTGTACCACTGCACGAAGGCAATTAATCGAATTATAGTTTTTAAATAGGTTACGCTGAGATTGAAGGGTACTGACCCTTCTGCCGCAAGATATTTCCGGAGTTTTTCGTTGATAATCCCACTCGACCGAGGTTAATGTTGTTGTCTTTACCCCGTGTGCTTCAGCTAAAGCCACAAAGGAATTAGCACGTTCATTAGCACACAAGATGATGCACTAACGACCATTTGTATCGTTGGTCGTAAAATATGTTTGCCGTTCAACGCTTGACCAGTTCAAGCCCTTGACTAAGAGCTTTCCATTCCCGTGCGTGCACTTGGAAATGATTCACTTTTCAAGTTGTTTCCAAATCTTCACATCATTTTCTTTAAGTCTACGAATTTAATGGTTTAGCACCTTACTTTTGGGAAAGAATCTTCGATGAAATTTACGAGAATTTGCAGCGCACTAAGATCCGATCCGTGCGTTAACAATTCAATTACTTTGCCCTAAAATTCGAAGCAGTCCTCTCCATCGAGCGGACTTCATCTTGTTCAGTTCTGAACATTTTGATGTGTATCTCTGCTATCTCGCTAATATATTTCCTATTTCCAGCACAAAAAGTGTTATCAGTGCGCCATTCGCGATTTTGCTCTTCCATTTGTCTCTAAAATTCGTTAATTAATGAGCAGAAGTGTTAATTTCCTGTGAAAGGGTATTAAGCAAACTCTAGGTGAAAGCTATTTCGCTAAGGCTCCCGCAGATAGCTGGCATCCTTTGCAAACACGATATAATCACACAAGCAGCTGGAATTGACTCAGATTAACATGTCCGGTTTTAAAATCTTGCTGCTAAACCTGTTATCTCATTAGCTTAGTTGCATAAGGCCACACGAAGCACGAAAGACGATGGCGCTTTTTGTGTTCCAGACCTCCAGTAGATACGTGATGCACTACCAAAACTCAGCTCAATTCTAGTGCAGTCGAACCTTACTAAAAACAACCTAAAGCGGTCTGAATGTTTCGTCCCAGCCGTGGGCTAATCCATACACCGCTCCATAGTGGCCACCCCCGTGCAATGGCCATTAATTCCGTCCCAAAGTGGCCGTCGCAGATAAGTTCAACTACGGAAAGAATAGTGCTTATTGCCCCTATTAACAAAACTATTTCCTGTATCCCTGGAAGAAATTACCGATATTTTAATTGCGCGGGATTGATTGGGAAAAAAGTACCTCTTTCCGCCCTGCTCTCACGCTCGCATCGCTCGTGCGCTCCACGAAAAATAACTCGCAGAAAGATAAAAAACGTCCGTGTATAGACTACGATGCAATCAGACCACAACAAAGTCGCCCCCCAAGAGGGGAGGGGAATAACCAACTTTCATTTAACAACGTTTTGGTCAGAATAACCGGAAAATCTACGCATTTTGTTTTCAGTTTGTGTAAACTAGTTCTATCTAAGATTGCAGTTATTGAGTTGGCTTGTTTTCTTTCAGGTATGGGCTCACTGGACGCCCTCGAACACGGATCAAGTCAAAGTCGTTACTTCGTGCAAAGCCAAAGAATGAGAGTAGCGCAAGGGGTGTCGGGTACCGTGCCGGACAAGGGGAGTGTCCACAGCTTTGTGCCATACCTCTACACGGGCCTGCAACATGGCTGCCAAGATATGGGCACACAGAGCCTCTCTGCAACACGATCCATGATGTACAGCGGTCAACTCAAGTTTGAGAAGAGATCTCCCTCGGCACAAGTCGAAGGAGGCGTCCATGGTCTGCATTCCTACGAGAAAAGGCTGTATTGACGAATCCGATGAATTAAATTCGTTTAATTGCGTGACATTTCTTTGAAGAGAAACTTGTGTGGACTTGAATAAACAGCGTCACTCTCCGCTCGCTCAATTCTTCCGCTCAAAAGATGAATTATATTCTACACAAATTCTATATTGAAGGCATTGATTTAAGTTAGCAGAGACCATGTGTAATTTTACCAGCACGCAAGGAAATTCAAAATCGAGGATCGACCAATCATGGTACCACATAGATCTCTGTAGACCTACGTCATCAGCACCAGAATTTTTGTAGAATCCTCAACCTCGTTGCCAGGAGAGAGAGCCTGAGAACGAAGTTCTGGACCTCTTGAGAGAGGGAAGAAAAGAGCCGAAACGAAGGGAAGGAAAATGACAGTCAGCAGACATGAATTTAGTTTGAAGGAGCGAAGTCACGGTTTGTTCATCTGGCAATATTGAGCCTAAGTTTTTCAAGGTCGTCGTTTGTAATCCGTGTTACTCTTCTCCATCCTTAGCCATCCTTGTTCCTTCATGGTTTATTATTATTATCTCTGAGGTGTTTTTCTATCTAGTAAACTACTATTTTCAGGTTTCGTTCAATTTAAAAGTAATTTTGTGCGCGGCCAAAAAACTGCGATTGAGCTCCTTTAGCGTTGATTGAAGTTGTGTGCCGTTTTCCAAAATTGCTCTGCGAAAGTTACCAGCTGTTTCGAACTGGTTAAGAAATTGTGCAAGAAGAGTTGTTATTTTGATATATGGCAATACTGTTTCTATCTGTTGTAGTTTTTGAGAGGCGAGTTTTTTTTCATAACTGTTAAAGCTGTTAATATTTACTGTGAATATTTACAGTTTGCTGGTCGCACATCAGCCAAGATATTAATATTGCTTTGCAAAAGAATTATAATAAAGTGGTATTTTCAGAAAAAAATGGTTGTATTTTGGAGAGATTAATATCCCTTAAAATATACTGTACTTAATTTTTCTGAAACAAACAAAAGCCTCAATGGTCTCGAACTGAACGGTGAAAGAAGTTAACTCGACATTATTCTTTAATTAACATCAGTCTGACTCACTCATTCATTCACCTCGAGTTCACCCTCTAATTGTCTCGTCGACCGCGATGCAACCAATCAGATTCGCGTATTTTTAACTAAAACATGTGTCCAGTGAAGGTTGATACACCTGAGGGAACGCTGGCAAATATAATAGGGACGCCAAGTACGACGCGTAGAAAAAAAAGGAACTTATATTTTACCTTCGAATTTCGCAATTGTCTAGATCTGTTCAGTGCGCCTATCGGTCTCAGAACTTGCTCAAGCTACATATGCAACGCCAGCGTTCAACTCCAATTGAGCCGCCGCCGTTCGCGTTCCCCAAAATACTCAGAACTTAGTTACTTCACGTTGTTGTTGTGCAGAGGACGGCAAAGAAATGAGCCAAAGATCTATAACGCAAGTGCTGGTTGCGTTCTCAGTGCTGTTGCCTTCGTGGTTTGCTTAAGTTCTTTATTATGGCGGGAAAGGGGACTTTCTTGCGAAAAGTTTCTTCATGTGATCAGAAGAGTTTCGCCATGTCAGCATGTCCTCGTGACCTCTTATCTGTTGTTGATCGATCTTCATATGGCTAATACTTCGACTACGATGCGTTCAAGCGGATTCAACAAGTTGGAGCTTTGTTCCTATGCAGATATTTTATTCCAGAAATGAGACTTTCTCTATCCAGGGGTACAGATGTGTATTGACGTTAAAAAACCCAAGTCATTCGGTGGCGCCGATGAAATTTCACACCGAATCGAGTAGAGCGCAAAGGAAAATCTTCGACAAAGGAAGAAGGATACTTTATTAAGTGCAGGGGGTCCTTGCAACAACCCCTGTCGCCTCATACTACAAAACGCAATTTCTTAAATAAGAACTGACAGATCATGCCTTATATTACATACTGTGCCGCTAAATATGTCTTAAAAGTTACAGGATAAGGCAACATAAAAAGGACACATTTCGATTTTTTTTTATTCAAATCGACACACTTTTACACTAACAATGTATCAACATCATAAATTTCTAATTACGGCAACCTGCACCGATTTTAAACACAAAGGCTCATTGGTAACGACAAACCTTAGACTTATAGGGGATGACATTAACCCCCTCAAAACACTGGACAAGCTTGCTTTCTCCCTTGCTTTTTTTTTTTTTTTTTTTTTTTTTTTCGCTGCGCTTTTTTCATCAATTTGAAATTAAATTCAAGAAATAAAGCAAATTATAAATATTTCTCTAATTCACACATCTTTTTAGCTAACGTAACATCGCACTCATCAGGGCTGTATAACTGTGTTTTACAACCCTTTTGTCTTAAACGATCTTCATATAAAAAATAAAAATGCGTTTTTTAACGCTTTCGAATCTGTTCAACAATGTTTTATCGACTCTTTTATTTGAAATAAAAGATTGTCAAACAAAAAAAGAAATGCCACTGACTGTCAACTTTAACACGCATTTGATGCGCAAATCAGCAAAATAAACCACGCAAAGAAAACATGAAACTATTCTAGTTATCACACCGGCACATTCTTGCTTTGGTCCAAAGAAAACTAGAAAAACCAGCTTCCAAATAAAAACAACAAACAAAAACCTAACCCCACAAGTTTAAACACACCCCACGTTTTCAGCACACCTAAAATAGTTACATCTCCTTAGAAAGCACTGACGTGATGAATGACGAAAGCACAATGTTAAGCACTCGATACCTTACAATCACTCTAGTCCTCGAAGCATAGCCAAAGCTTAGTAATACAGAAAAAAACAAATTTATATCGGTAAAAAGCTCGCTCCTAGTCTGTGGCTTTCAGCCCGAAAAGGCAAAGTCTACAGTTTCTGGGGCTAAACTGACAACTGTTTGCAGCCATAATGATTTGTAATCAAAGTAGCTGTGTAACCACATCACGCAGATAGCATGCAAAATTTAGCTACATTGATGTGTGTTGTCTGCACGTACGGCTCCATTGTGATGACAGACGACGGAAATCATAAGACCGTGGGTGGAATTTCCCGCACATTCACGCGGCGATAATGGATGAAGTCTGCGAGGTTGCCACGAACCACAATCACGTACCACGGACGATAACAATGAGTAAAAGTACCATACCGTAAGATATTTGACTTCCTTAAATACTTCACGCTTATCAACTGACGGGAAATGGCGATAAATTGTGGCACGTACTGACTTGAAGTCTGTGAACGTCTGTCCTGCTTCGTCAAGAAAAATACTGATTTATCTTCAGTTAAGGGTGCAGATGAAAAGAAGGTTATGAAGGCTATTGTGCAAATGAGAGTGAAATAAAACTCCGTTTAGAGACCCGTTAGACGATGAAACATGTGAGCCCCCTATGCGTAGTCTTGGGCTAAGCGGAGTTGTTGTTGAAGCAAATAGTGGATATTTTTCATCAACAAAACTTTGTTTGTATAAAACTTCTGAGTGCTTGTTAGCATTTAGCAGTAATTTAAGTTTCCCTGACTGGCTAATTCATACGCACGTGTAAATTTCGTTCACATATCTGGAATATGGTCGCTCACGAGAAAGTCTACAGGCCACACCTAAATGATGTGCTTACAGTGCGCAATGCAGGACGTCCAGGGACGTCTTGCCGGAAAAACACCTTCCGATTTAAACGTCAATTCGTACGTTTTTAAGATTAAAATTCCTCCAGTCCATTACGAACTTTGCGTCGCCCGGAAATACCAATAGAGAGGCTCACATTTTTCAGCACTTTTCAGTATCGTAATTGAAGAACCTCACTATCTAGAACTCGGTTATCGCAAACTTCCCGCTACTTTTCACTTACGGTTATCTCGAGCACCCGACAACTCCAATTATTTTCCTTTATCTCTTAAGAGCTCGAGATAACGGATTAACACAGTACATGATACGACGGATCAAATGTCAGTTTAAGCATGGCTATTAGAGGGAAATAGTTATGAAACCAAACAAATTTCTTTGTTGTATGTTTTTGCTCTCTTGTTTGGCCTTGACCGTGCACAGAACACAATCGTTGTTTACTTCGGACTGAGGAACTAACCAATGGATACTGTCGTCGGTTACGTCATTCAAGCATAGTGTATAAGCGCAAAACAAAAGATTGTGCACGGTCGTGGACCTTCCAACATAAATCTTGACATCTTTGTTTGCTTCTTTGAAGTTTACCGAGCTTCGTAGCCATTCCCCTCTATTAACTAAGATTTAAGCAAGAGCAAGATCAAACATTTTAAAACCTCACAAAAAATGTTGGTTAAAACAGGCGGACAGACTATGAAGCAAGGTCTATTGACAGAACGTTGCATAAACACATGACTTGTAGGTCAGGCAAGGATTTCCTTAACTTTCTCTCAGCTGAACGCGACCTTCAATTCGAGCTGCCGTCTTCCATTTCTAAATTCTCGGTGAGCTTTTTTATCTGCGCCAGGATTTTGAGGGCGGGACCTAGTCTGATTGACATCCTAGTCAACAAATGATCTTCTTGCATTAAAACAAATGAATGCCCGTCAATGTGTTCCTCTCTGAACGCATGCGCAATGTCTGGTGAGCCTGTGAGAGCCGACACAAAGTGACACACGTCATCAACACTCCATTCTAAGACGTTCTCGTGCGAGTCCGGTCGAAAACGAGGCACTAGCTTATGAGGTGATACACGTGAAGGTTCCTTACCACCACTCGGGGAGGCCTTGGGTGTGGCGAATGGACTGTGTCTTTCGTTAGAACCCGTAGAAGCCTCGGGGCTTCTTCGGATCCCACAGTCGCGATCGGAGATGGTCGCTATGGGGTTTCGGCTCTCGTTATCAGTTTCGTTTTCGTTCCCATGTCCCTTATCTACCGCCTCGTGTCTCTCCTCGTCCACTTTCGTTGTCCGAGCCTTTGTAACGTTTTTGTTATCGTCCACGTGACCGTTGACCGGGGTAATGTTCTTGGGAGATGCTGATCGTGACGCGCGATGCATTGTTAGAGATGAATGCGTGACCGGGAGACCCTGAAGACTGGCACGAGCGGCTGCCGCGGCAGCTGCATTGGCTTGGATGAAGGAAGATTGGAGAGGAATGTTTTGCGTAAGAGGGTTATGTTGGGCCGGAGGTGTCAAAAGTCTGTAATGCATTAAACTCTGGTGTAGCGCCGAAGGCACTCCAGGCATGTTGGCTCGTAAAGCTTGATGGTAAATACTTGGGCCGTGAGGCGAAGCCAGCAACAGGGGATCTGGTAACAGTCTGGGCGAGTTGTGAGACGGACTCATTAGAGGGGAGGGGCTGGGAAGTTGTGTAAACGGGTTGAATGGCTGGCAGTTTAGCGGCTGTGGTTTTTGTTGTTGCTGTTGTTGTTGTTGTTGTTGTTGCTTGGAGCTTTTTGCTGCTCGTGCAGCAAGTTCTCGTTGGAGAGCCTCCGCATTAACATGGTTCTCAGGGTTCATCTCATTATGAGGATTTAAAGCATCTGTTAAAAAAAAAAATAATAAATTGCAATATTTAGCGAGCAAGTCACATCAACCTCAGCTGTTTTCATGCGGCCGGGGTCCTCCATCCTGGTCGAATTGGCTTTAGTGGAGGGAGGAAAACCGGAGAACCCGGAGAAAAACCCTCGGAGCAAGGCGAGAACCAACAGCAAACTCAGCCCACGTATAGCACCGGGCCGGTACCGAACCTTGGCCACGTTGGTGGGAGGCGAGCGCTCTCACCACTGCGCCATCCCTGCTCCCCTAAGAATACACCAGGCGGCCAATCCAATGCAAACTAATGTCTTGAATCAAGAACTTTAACCCTCTCAGACCTTGATGCAATTCGAACTTTGAAGTAGCCTGCGTCGCAGACGGTCTAAACCGCGGGTACGGTCCACTATATCGGGAATTTTATGACACGTCCGGCTGCAACGCAGGCTAACCTTTAAGTCGTGGGTGAAATATTCAGGTGTGATCATTCAAATAAGATGTTGAGCTCTTTTTCCTTGTGGTACTATTCATTAGCTGTACAAAGTGGTCCTGGTTTATTGCTGAGCGGATCAAACCCAAGCGTGTGACCACTAAAATGAAAGCTTTTAAGCTGTACTTTCAAGAGGTACTGTTTATTATGCTGTACAAGGTACTCCGACCTTTTAAGTCTGTAGGTAAAACCCCAGTATGTGGCCTTTCAAATGAAAGCTACCGAGCGGTATTTTCATGTGGTACTGTTTTGCCTTTTAAGAAAAACAGGATGTGTGGAATTAAGCTCTAGCGTGCGACCTGACAATTTAAATTAGGGCTATTGAACAGTGCTTTCCTTTTCCAGTAATTTCTCTGGAGCAAATAAAGACTCACCTTGGTGGACCGCCCTGAAAGCGCTCCTACTCCCCGGGGCCCCTTGAGCTCCACCAGGGGATCCGCTAGTTTCCTGAGATTGCGAGCGATGGTGATTTGCCAAATCAACCGTCAGATCTTTTCTTGCTTGCTTGGAAGCCTCGGCAGCCGAGGAATTTAAATATTCCGAGGGAACATCCCTAAAGAAGAACGTGCTTCTCGGGTCGAACTGGAACCGGTCGGCTAAGGAAAAAGAGTCAAGTAGATTTTGCTTTACTAAATTTTACCAGAGGGGTGTATTCCGGATGGAATTATCCTACGAAAAAGCTGTTTTAAAACCAAATTTAAAACGGGGCGTCGGCTGCCGCTTTCTTTTATATAAATGTCCGCATTCTTCCATCCATATTGACTTTCCATCTTATGAAAACAAACATTTCCTCCCCCTCCAGTTTGTGCTTATTTTTAACCCAGTCAAGAATCGAAATAACCAATTGCCCCGACGATGGTTATAAAGGTAATATCAGTTGACGACCCTATTCCAGAATCATAGCAAAAAATTAATTCTAGTACTGTTTTCACTTTGCGGCGGTAAAGCAAAAAACTGTAGAAAACAACCCCGAACGATCAAGTCGTATAGAAGCGCTGAAAGGAGAAATTAGCAATTTATGAGCTCGAGCAGACTTTGTCGTTGTTAACAGATTGCTTTTGTGTTGTACACCGTGATGTGTGAGTTCAGTCGCTTAATCAAGTTATCTGTCTGTGTGATATCGAAATTTACAGACTACTGGATGGTCTTGATATATTTATATCGCGGGCAGTCAAAACAGGTCACCAAAATTGCGACGTTGAATCGCACATAGATTTACAAAAAGAAAATTAAAAGAATCCAAAATGGTAGTTATCACATTTATGTGTGATTTCAGTATGATGTATTTGTTGCCATGACAACTACAAACTGCTTAGTGATGGTTGTAAAACGCTAATTTCCCTGTCTATTTCCAGCGTATGCGGCAGTTTCCCTGTGTTCATCCCATATCCCACGTCATTATTAAAACGGAAAAAAAAATAACATTAAAACGTCCGGTGAGTGCAAAACAGACGCGACTCAACATAAGAAGCAGAATATTGGGTTTCCATTCGAGATTTCCTGCGGACTGCATGGTTTGCACGGGATCCATCATGTCCTGTTTGAACCTTGCCCGCAATATCAACATTGCACGAAAATAACTCAACTACGATATCCCACGCTTTTCCTGTCCTTCGGACGGCCCCACGAACCTTATACTCCGCTCTCTTAAATCTTCCTTTCTTAGGAAATTAACTCAAAAATGAAATCATTAGCAAAAGTTCACAGCTTGCATGCATGCGTTTTAAAGCTTTTCGCCTCACAGTGGTTACTTGGACGTATTTCCGTCCTTAAAGTATATCAGGAAAATGGATTTTTAAGTTGGCAACCAGCAGAGCGACGTTAATCCGGCTTAAAGAGGCACGGAAAGATGATCCAAAGTATAATTTCTTTGCAAACTTGCAGCGAAGATAAATGGTTCGCGGGAGAGTTCTCTTGCGTGCTGTGACGTCACTAATCTAACCGTTATCGTCGAGGTAACAGCATTTTCTCACGTACTCACAAGATCTCGCAACTTTGCAAACTTAAAGATGCGGTGTTACTTTTTTCAATTCTGTTGTAGGAGTTTTCTAGAAAAACAGCGAGTTATCGGCGCACAGAACTTGACAAAGCAAAGATTTGGTCTGGCAAAAAATTCAGTTATACCGTTCTTCACACATTTAAGAATTGGTCCCAAATTGAACGCTACACACAACATGCTAATGATAAGAACAACTTCGTTTGTAAAATCCTATCAACCGCCGTTAAGTCAGCCAAGAACCATTAACATAAATGAAAATAAAACTACCAGAGTTCAAAAATGATGGAATTGACCTTAAATAGCTTCATTTCAACACTCAAGTTGTATTTTCTTACCGGCTTTACAATCTAGTCTTAAAATTTTTTTATCAACCGTACAAGACAATGTCGGCGTATTGCGAAACGGAATGCGTGAGTGAGTTTGTTTTGATACGACGGAAATGCAGAAGCTTTTTTGCTCTTGTAAAGCCGTAAAAAGAACGGAATAGAGATGTCAAGAAGCCGGAAAAAGCAGGTCATAAGTTTGGCCATAATACCTTGATAGTTTGCCTATTTTAGTTAACAACAGTCAACCATAAATGAATGCCCTTTGAGTCTTCATGGGCAACAAACTGTTCCAAAGGAGAGCGTGAAAATCAAAATACGGGGAGAGCAGAATTAACTGTATGCTTTGCCACTGAAGTGGTTGAGTGATGATCATATCTGATTTCCTTTGTACAGTGAGAAAAGCTTTGCCCAGTTAGCAGAACTTACTCAAGCGACTTTCCACTAACGGCACTGATCCCGGCAGTAAACACGAAGTCTTCCTAAGTCTGCAGAATTCTTCACCGCGTTGTAAGCTGTTACTCACTTGGAAAAAGAACTGCTCCGCTATGCTTTGCTTAGTTTGACCTTGAACTCAGTTTTACACAACTGTATTGTTTGATTGACATTTTGATCACAAGATATTAAAATATATACGATATTCTGCAAAAAAAATTAACCTTTTCATCAGGACATTATGCATGATTGCCTGCACGACCGTTGTTGATGCAAAAAAAAATAATAGTAAGTGAGACCTTGTTTTTTATTTATTCTTCAATGAAAGCTTCGTCAAGATTCTCTGGTGTCCTCGCAGAAAAATGAAAGCAGGAATTTTGGATTGTCGAGTTTAAGATAACAAAATAACGAAATCAAAATTTCCTCTCGCGTCGATATTGCGTGGTTTAGAAATTACCTAAATCTAAACCGCAAAGTGCCCAGTTTACTTCAAAGAACTGTCTTTGGAAAAACTTTTAGTCCTCGAGCTCAAAAATTGTCGACTTGATCAAAGTGAGGTTACAGAGACAAAAAAGTGACTTTGAGGAGCAGTAACACCTCAATTCAAATTGATATTTCAGTATTTTGACTCTCTTATAGTAGCATTGTCATATTTTTAAATGCTCAATTTATCGCCTAGTATTTTATCAATTACTTTGATTCGGAATTACAAACACGTTTCCAAAATTAGCGCCACTACAATCTCCAACACCATCCGCCCAAGTATGCCTTTGATTGCTCAATTTCTTTTGGCCATTTTTAACCCGTCGGACAATGGCATCACGAGATTGTCTTGTAAATTTTCGCAATAACCAAGGAGAGTATTTTGACTGCGCGGTCGTGGAACAACAAGATATATTTTGCTTCATACAGGGCAGCCCCCATGCAGTTGGTGAAAGAATAAATAAACTTAACACTGGAGTTCTTTAAGTTTTAGAATAAAACTACGCTTTGCTTACTTGCCCGTCTTTTCATAGTGCCCACTTTAGCCAGGTTTTCAGGTGACAAGCTTCTCGCCCGTTTCGGCGGCTCTGTAACCGGCGAGAAGGGGCTATCATCTACAGGTTCTGAACACTCAGAGGCAGTCGAAGACGTTGAGTGCGGGGAATCTCTCAAATCGACACCATTTCTCGCCGATGTGTTCATGTAGCCGTCGATATCAGAAGATGAACCGTGTCTGGCACCAAATTGTAAACCTTGCTCGAAGCCATCTTGCCTCCAAGTCGGCTTAGAAGAGTCTTTTCTTTTTCTAGTCGGAGAGGGCGGAGAGGAAACACTGCATTTACTGGCTAATCTTCCCCGGTTCTGTTTCCAGGAAAATAAAAGCAGTGAGGGTTTGAAGCACTATTGTCTAGCGTTGTTAAACAAACTTGTGGAAATCTCTGATAGAGATAATAGATGCGCGCCTTATATGGGTCGTCTTTTAGCCGTTGGGTCCTGCACCCGGTGCATGTTGCGAAAATATAGGTTCGACTTAAATACTTACTTCTATAAACATCCTAGGTTGCCACAGTGTTTATAATATTAGCGGAATAAACACGAGATAAGCCACGTAGTCTGCGTTACATGAAGTACTAACTGAAAAGATTGTACGAGCAAAGTCTCGAACTTATTTCAATCTTCAATTCTGGGCTTCGCCCAGTTGTACCAAAGGACATGCCCACAAACTGAAGAGGCCAGTGAAACGAAGGATTAACCTTAAAAAGCGTTAAAAGAGTCTTAATAGGGCTCTACGCCAATAAAAATTCCATTAGCTTTCGCTTTTACAGCCCACCACGTCTGGAATTATACAACGAAAAAAAAAATGTCAGCGACTGTGTACGTGATAAAATGTGCACGGCGCCTTCGAACGCACAAAGGCTACTCAAGTAAACCCGTGTTAGATGCTGACATTTGACCTGTGGGATGTAAACTTTATTAATTAAAAGCTATGCAAACCACTCATAGGATTTTTGACTTCCTTTGAGTTTTGTTTTAACAGTACGGAACATTCGGAAGTTGCTGTCAACTGAGGTCGTCCAAAAAAAGACATAACCTTCATTTCTGCCACAAAAAGAGTGCAGGTGGCAACTTTGAAAATATTGATATTTGCACGCAATATTCAGCAATTGAATTGTGTTTCCAGTAATCGTCGAGGATCCACGAGTGTTATCACCTGATGTTGGAGCGACTGACCCTCGGCCGCCGGAGATAGAAAACTTCACATGTCATTTCTTTGTCATATCTATTCGTTTTCTCTTTTTGGCCGGAAATGACTTGATTCGTGCGAAGCCAAGGGCATTGTCAGGCTCCTGGTAAGGCTCCTCATTTGCCAAAAGCAGGCGGGCTTTTGCTCCTTTCTGAACAATAATTTCTACTCAAATTATATAATAGCTCGAAGTGTGCCAAATTCGGAAACAGTTTAACCATTAAGTGACAGAAATCTGCCATTTTTATGCACGCTCCGTCGAGAAAGGTCGAAAACGTCGGTCATTAAAATTCTGCGATTAAAATATCTTGTCCACAACGTCAATATAATAATCAACATGTTCAGGTCATGTTGAATTGTGAGTCAACAATGGAACAATAGAAAGCATTAACAACTCACTACCCGACATTTGCAGCAGAACTTACTTGCAAAACCTACCTCCAGCGGTGAAAGAATTATTTTTGTTGCACAAAATTGAGCGGGTGTTGTTTTCGTACGTGTGATGTCAAACCTGGGTTTTGCCGTTTTTTAAACCCCCCGAACCATCTCTAAAGTGCGAAACAATTTCAAGAGCTATTGTTACTTCTAAGCTGTCAATTTTATCACCACTTCGCACCGCCTCCTCCGTCAGCTTCGAGAGCATCCGCAAACAGATCTAGCGAAGCCCGTGTTCTTTTACAAAATGTCAAAACGCAACCCACACCACGATTTTGGTGATTTTTTGTTTCTTTGAACTCGTCTAGAAGACATAATCGTCTTAACTTTAGTGTTTGCAGATTGTTATTGGGTTTTTTTCTAGGGTTATTTGCTCCAACATACAAATCCCGGGTAATGAGTCAACTGAGAGCTCTCTGGTAAGGGTAAGGATAATTTTTTTTCAACCCGTTAATGGGTGGGCAAGATATTGGAGTACATTGGAGCTAGCCTAAAAAGACTTTGGCTAGCTTCAGTCTCCGGTCTTACTAGACATAACCTAAATCAATAAACAAAGAGAATATCATGCGAGTCTAGGAATAAATCTCACCTGTGCACGCGTATGAAACAACAGTGTATTGTTAGCAAATTTTACCGGGCAAGCCACAGAAAATTTAAACTAAAGCACATTGTAATATCTAAGCCTACCCTTGTATAAATATAGTCGAGATAATCCCTTACCACAGGCGACGAAATCCTGCAGCCCAGGCAGTCGCATATAGGTGGATGAACCTTAATCAGTCCGCGTGCTATCAAACTTTTAAGAGATTTCCCTTTGTAGCGGATACTTCTTTTCCAGTCTTTTGCAGTTTCCCGTCCGCTGATGTATTGCAGTTCATTCGGTGTCAACCACTCGCCTTGAAATAAAATGCAAGGTCCTTTGCTTCCCTGGCACAGCTTGGACACATAAAGCAGCGCAGCGTTTTCACCGCATTGAATTTCCAACGGTTCCTCCGTCACGAGCCCTTGATCAGGTCCGGCCGGTCTTTCGTTGTTAACGTCAAAGCGAATTGGTTCGCCCATGCTTTTCTGACCCTCATCGCTTTGCTCTGTTTTCACGCTGAAATTAGAACTGTCCGAGTGGCTGAAATTTATGTGAGCAGGCCCTGAGCTTGTCGAATTTACGCTGGGATTTTGAGGAGGCATTTGTGCGGAGGTGCCGGCGCTGTTGGTATGCTGTGCGTGAGACTCGTCACGACTGCTATCGTCGGATGCAAGTTTTTCTCGGAGTGTCTTAAGTTCATTAGCATGTGGTAAACCGGTACTTGTCTGCAACGGCGGGGTCGCTTTCTCGACAGACTCACTCGCAGCCATTTTCAAATCCTCTCGGCCTGAAAATCTGCAGATCCACAAAAACGCGAAGATTCTCGGAAGTAATCATGTGGGCAAAATTTGCGCCGCGCTCGCTTGTGTTTTCGTGTGGCGACGCTGGCGACAAGTTTTCTGCCGTCTGTCGCCGACCAAAGCCTGTCGCTCTTTATTTGATGTGATACCTTGCTGGCATCGCACTCCTATGATTGGCTGGCGACCTGTCGGAGTGGAACGCTTATCGTTAGTCCGACCAATCAGATGTAAGCAGTGAAGTAAATAGCAAGTCTACTATTACGGCATTTCATTGTTCTGTCATGAACGCTAAAGTCGTGTCTGCCAGCCAATTTGCTTGAGAGTGAAAATACAATTAAAATTTTCCATCATTTTGGATGTCAGTATGCGAAAACGATGCAAAAATCGGGTCGATGCAGTTTTAATGAAATTGTTTCCGTTCGGAAAGGAAAGTTGTTCCCGTTTCAGAGCTGTGACGGAGCCCATGAAACTGGCCATTACGTAAATGTATAACCCCTGACATTGCGTCGAAAGTTTGTCCAAGCGATGCAAAATGTTTCTAACCCCAATTTGTCGTTCTAAGAATAATTTCACCGTTTGAGGCTTGGCACAAGCACGATCAGTTTCACCATTTCTCGCACGCTTGTCGTGCTTAAATATTCATGGACACGTACAACGGACATATTCATAATAAAGTCATTGTGCTCGCCGAGGGTTATGACGTCATGCAACCCACGCAAATGGGTTCGAGACTAAACATTGAAATAACCAGCGATGTGATAAAATTGCTTCCACTTCTAAATAATGTATTCACCAGGGTTGGCAAGTGCAGTGGATAGAAAAGAGAAATCGTAGAGATACATTCGACTTTGCAAAAAGGCCAAATAGATCGCAGGATTTTGCCAGAAGCATTGTTGCAATTCCTGACAATTCAACGGGCCGCCGGCCAGAGGAGATTTCGAGCGATTTCGCAATTGCACTGAAGCGGCCGTCAGTAAATTAATACCACAATTACGGGGCGAAAACTGATGCAGAATAAATAGGGTTTGGTTCTGTATATTTTCTATCGAAGGAAATTATTTATCAAAGAATTAGCAAGGCTCTGGCGAAAACATTATTTACTCTAGCGAAATTTTCTTCTCAGCGGTAGCTGACGAGAGACTGAGTAATATTTTAAACGATTGAGTTTTTTTGAGGCGTTTACTTTCGCTTTCAAACGATATCCCAGTGGCATATGAATATCAGTCTCGCGGTTTCGCTCAAACCACTGAAAAACCGAGGCCGTCAAGGATATCTCTCGTAAACTTCGCGCGGTCAATTAATCGGGCTTTGGGTTTTTGCCAGATTTTACACTATTATTATTTTATCATTTACTTTTTTTTTAATTTTAAAAGACCTAGAGCTTCTTTGAAGGTTCCGGGATAATCAAAATGTCACGCACTGATTTTCAAAAGGCCAAAAACGTAGCATGTAGCTTGTAATTGTAAGGAAAGCGTGCCAGACTTTTCTTGCCCTTAATTTAACATAAACATTTGATTTGTATAAATGTTTGCGATACACAATTGTGTTATCTTTGGCGTATTGTCGTCGGCTGTTCAGCCTCTTGACTCAGGAAATGCACCCTTGCTTTCCAATCTCCGGATGTCCGACAAATTCGATAGATAGATACTTAAACGCTGATGAACGCAACTGAAACTAATATCGTTAAGAGCGAACCAAAAATAGCAACGTCGGTGACCAGCGACGCGAAAAATGGTGAACTTGAATGAATCTGTTAATGTTGTGGCTGTACCACAAGCAGGTCTGCAAAGCAAAATTGTCATCATATACACAGCAGATATTCCGTTAAAATTGATCAATTGAGAGAGAAAACATGCTTGTGTTTTCAACCGATATATGCCCAAACTTATTTATTGAGAATAATTGTGGCCTTGAACTCTTATTGTTTGTTACGGTTTATTGCAGGACAAACTGTTACCCTTGGCGACGGATTTTATTTTTTTACGCTAAACATTCCATTGGGAACTTAATCAGTTTCTTCTCATAATGTGTTAAACGAAATAGCGAGCCCTGCACCGAACTTCGAGTCACCGTTTGTTGACTGATACAAATCAACAGCTTTAGCCCTGAGCATGTTCAATAGTTCGCACGAATTCAATCCGAGTCATAGCATACTGAAACATGTCACCATCACAAATCAGAACTGTAATGGTGTCTTAGCTAAACGCGGGCTAGAGAGATTAAATTTGGGCGTCTTCGCTAAGTAAACTTAATTTCCTAATCACTAGTCATAAACATGGCTTAGTGAAATGACAAGCACAAACAACAACGAACGGATTGTTCCTCCATGATTTCGAGAGCGCTTGCTCAACCACTTTTGCGCTTTAAACATGGAGAAAACCTCTTTTTGACGACCAAAAGCACAGCTGGAAACGAGCGAAAATGTTGCTTCCTGATTCTGTTGAATTCATCCTAAATTATTGAAGTTGTCAGGCAGAATCAAAATTTCGATACTGCTTTGGCAACTTTATCTCAGAATCTTGAGTATGTTTTGGAGTGAATTGAATTGAAAATTGTTCAAGTCAAAACTAAGCTAAGCTTGCCATGCAAGTGTGCTTTAATTGAGGGAGAGATAGAAAGCAGAAAAAGTAGAGCAAAGGAATTATTTATTATATACAAGAACCATTTGGAATTCCTCTTTTTTACTGACCACTAGAAAAGGCAACTTTTATGTTACCACTACGCCTCATAATGTCAGTAATGTTAACGACAACTTTTAAGGGCGACGATTAAACATTTGAATAAACTACCTGCATGGATGAAGAAAGAGTTACAGCTGGACAGCCAATGCAACCATCGAAGTTACATGCCAATGCCAGCTGCAAATGTGTACAGTGCACTGAGAAATAACCCGGCGTAGAAACATTACTCATGACTGAAATGTCCCCATTGATTTGTGTTTCATATTTAGTTCAAGGTAAACTGTAGAATCACTGACCGACATTTTTTGTCAGCCTTACACAGCTGAAAGCACAGTTGAACTAGAAATACAAGATATTTGTTCGGTAAATGAGCAAGAAACGGCAAACAGAATACCTAAAAACCTTTGTTTCGTGTACCTAGGTTGAATTTTATCTTAGTAACCAAGTGATAAACATTGCGTCCACGCATAACAGTTCCTCCATTTCCAAAGTTCTACAAACTGAAAGGTTACAATGACTTACTAATTCAGAAACAACCATCAATGGTTCTACTGTATCAGAAATTCGAATAACAGAAAAGTAAACAGTGTATCGGTTATAATATTTCAACCTGTTTTTGCCGGAGCCATTAGAAGCTACTAGAAAATGGTCGAGAATGACACGTACGTGCAAGAACGATTTGATAAACTATATCGGCTGCCCTTCAAACAACGTTACATTTTTTACTCATGGTAAAATAAGATCGTGTATCTTTTTTGCCTTTTCCTTTGATTATAGTAGTTGTGAGCTTGAAACTGGTTCACAGAATACAATTGATTTGTTCAAGGCCCAACTCAATAGGCACTGCTTTTGAATTAGGTCAGATTAGTCGGCTTTGCGATCGACTGCTCTTCAAGCTCCTCTTGAAATTTTCCACACGAATTCGCAAACTACACTTTTTCTTGCCTAGAACAGTCTTTTGAATATTAAATTTCTCTTCAAAACGAAAAATCTTGGCGAGTTTAACTGCCTGTGTGGATGACCTTACAACAGCGCGCAAAACATTTCGGTTTTTGGATATAACACATTTGTTCCTCACGACTTGCTGCAAGGGGTTCCCATTGAAATTTAGTGGGTTTCGTACAGAGTTTTCAGTCCGGGTTTGCTAGCAAAGGACTAACTATAGATAATTCAAATACCTTCAAATCAATACTCATCCTTTTCATGCATTTAAACGTGTACTCTCTTTTGAATTTACAAGTAGGAGAGGGCTACATTTCCCAAGTTTAAAGAGGGATGGAATTTGACAACTTAGGAACTAGGAACTGTAATTTATTTCAACTATACGCTACATTTCAAACATGATATACATTCTTCATTTACTTTTTTCCTTTTTTGCCTTTTCGTTTGAACATCTTTGTTGCGAAACTCAGGCCTATGTGGAAATATATCTTTCAGGGTGTACTTAAATTGTGTCTATGTATTGCTTTAAATCAGGGCAACTTAGATCAAATAGTTCTGGTTTCTTTTGAATTGATTTTTTAGACATTTACTTTTTCTTACCTTTTACAGACGTTAAATATTAGATTGTACTTTGAGAAAACAAAACTCAACGAAAACAGCTGCCTCACAGCTACAAAGTGATCTTAGAACAACGGGAAAAACCTGGCCTTGAGCCAAGCCAGTGAGGACCTCGCCACTTGTCTTGCAAGGTGGGTTCTTAATACCCACTGTATGAAGGTTTCCCAGTTGGGAGTTTTCTGTCATGGCTTGCAAAGAAAACTCTCGCATAAGACATCACCTTGCATAGAAAATCCAAACACATTCAATGCCTTCACAACTCAGGACTCATTGTGCAGCTCAGCTGCAATTCTCTACTATCAATAAGACTTGAATTGACAATTTAGTAACGACAGTTCACTTATTTCACTATATATCATGATCATATCTCAAAATACTTTTATAAATGATGTATGCGGTAGAATATGAACGTTTTACCTTTCACCTTTGGTTTCAGTGATCATCGACTGTTGCCGGAAACACAATGTTTAATGAAACTTGATTTCTCAGGGCGGAAATTGTGCACTTTTAAATTTGGCCTCTTCGATCAACTGACTTTGTCTTCTCTTTTGAATTTGAATGCTTTCATGCCTTTTCTACAATAATAAACTATTTTATCCCTTGGACAGTCTTTAATATTAATTTCCCGTTGTAAAACAACAAACCTAGCGAGAGAACAACTGCCTGTTTAGGTGATCGACCTCAGAGCAGCTGCCAAATGTCGTAGCCAATTTTCCCCCATTTGGTCTTGCAATGGGTTCCAAATGACCACTGTGTTTTGAATTCAGTGGGTTCTGTTTATGGGATTTATGCTTCGGTGTTTTACAGACATAACATTTATATTAGCATGCCTGATGATGGTCAAACTAATCAATAATTCCTTCTCAGACATTGAACAACCACTTGGTAAGAGGAAAAATTGAAATCGACCACTGAGTAAGATTTAGACTTAATACACAATTTAGGAAATGCAATTTTAATAATCTAGAAACGAAATTTTAGTAGTGAGCTTCGATTTATTGAGGATTGCAAGAAACTCACATCAAGATGGCTCTGCGGCGATGAACTTCGAGCTTGAAACACAACATAAAGCATGGTTTTTGAGTTAACTTATGCTCGCTCTCTTCATGAGATTGAAACAATATCGGTAGACTATTGAAAATAAAGCTGATCACTACTAACTCGTGGAAAAAAGCTAAATTCGCCTATAATTCCGATCATTTGGAATTAAGCGTAGTGTTTCATCAAGGAAATTAGATATTGTGTTACCCCCATGATAAGATATTCGGAATCTGGTGTGAGACTATTATAAAACAGCTCTCGAAGCTAAGCCATCGCAGTGAAAAAAATTGTGTCCTCTAAAACTGTATGTTTTACCTTGATATGTCACGTAGAAACACTGCAATACTTTAAGTGTAACTGAGGCCAGCTTGCAGTTGTATAAAGATCCCGTAAAGATCTCAGCAGATGCCCAGGAAATTAAAATTTTCATCGGCTATTGGCAACCACTGATTTGCTTGGTCATCAGATGGATAGTGCTAGGGTTCAACGGTCTTCGCCGCAGTTCTTTCCCCACAGTTATCAGCCGTTAACATGATCACTGCTAGCCGAGGCTTTTACAGTTCGCCCTAAAGCAAGATCTCGTGAATAATCTAAGGCGTATTAAGCTATGCCCGATTTATAAAGCTTCATATTACAAACTGAAGTCTTCACACAGAGATCTGAAACTTTGTCCGCCGTGATTGATGTGTACTTGACTGTCACACTCCACACTCAGGCTCTAGTACGAACCTTCCACAGTAAAGAAGCGCTTTTATTCCTTGATTTTCGTTCTTGCCTTCTACTCGGTCGAAGCAAGTTTCACCGAGGATTGGCGAGTCGTTTGGACTTATAAAACGGGGTTGACAGCAATCAAAGTGACGACTCGGAACCAGAAAAATTATTTTGTACACCATAAAGCCAGAAGTCTTTCCTAGCCCGCCTTGCATTGCCCCTGTAATTGATGTAGCGTGATAAACGACTGAGCGCGCTAACATGTCGTGATGTGCGTCGGTTTACAGGGAAACTCAGAACTGGAAATTTCAAAAGGACTGTTAAATCCTAAATAATCACAATACAGTCATTAAATTCAAAATGCGCATAAATTGATTCAGGAAAAAGTTATGCTAGTCTGCACGTTCGTTTCGTTTTGCATCGCACAACGATTTTCCGGCTTAGTAACTATCAAAAATGCGGCCAGCGACGGTCATAATAAATAACAAAAAGATGCTTGATCAAGAGCGACCGGCAAGAAAATTTTTAACTTCATCGCTCGCTGGAGAATTAACCCCATGAATTAACGTCTTGCTGCCGGAAATGTTGCCCTGAGAGTAAATTTTTACAGTTGCAGGGATAATAATGGTGTTATAAACTCGAGTCATTTTGTTTCAGATATAAACAAATGCACAGCTTGCGAGCAGAATTCACAGCAACGGGTGCATTTATTTCGCTGGACAGGGAGGTCGGTTGATAGGTTGAACATCAGTTCAATCCATTAAAAAAAAAATTTATTGTCACGGCGGTTATAAATGAATAAGACAAAATGTGAAAATGAATTTTACAAAGACTAAAGAATTTAACACACCTGGTTAGAGAGGACCGACGAGGACCCACGCAAAATTGGCCGGACTTCAGTACTATCTCGCCGATGTCGCTTCGCCAGAAAATTGATCCAATGATTACGATGAAAAGAATCTGACGAACATTGCGCAACTTAGGGCCGCCTTTTCAGAGCCTAATCAAATATCGATGAGATTTTTATTCAATTCAGATCTGATGACAGCGTCGTGCAGGAATGAATCGCACGGATCCGCGTGCGGCGTGACCTCGTGTCGCGCACGCACGACAATGCTGACGTCATAGTCCTTTGAGGAGCGGTCGCTATGCAACCATTGTGTGTTTGATTGATCATTCAAATCCTTCAATTGTTTTCAAGATAAGAGAGCTTTGCTCTTGGATCATTCGTGAATCCGCTCCGAGACAGTGAATGAGACAGTGCGTGTATTTTCACCGGCAGTTTTTCAATTAAGTATTGTTCAGTATACGAAGCGCGTGACCAATAAGCAATAAGCACGGCTCATGTTTTTGTTTTCGTAATTTCGTTGCCTGTCGACGGAGGCATCAGCCTGGCTGACGGCGTTCGAATATAAGCCGAGGCAACCATTGTTTTTGCATGCTTGATACTGACAAGATTTTATTGTTTATCAAATAACTCGAGATAACAGGCAGGCATAAGTCAGTATCAGTGGAAAAAAACACTATACGCAATTGTCGCAATTGTTCGGTAAACGTCACAGAACTCTTAAGAACTCTTTCAGTCAATCAATCAATCAATCAGTCAGTCAGTCAATCCCAAATACTACAGTTTAACCCCATTAACTATTTTACGCAGGTTAACGGGCGGGAGAAAACCACTTTATAGATATTTTGCTGACCAATTCATGTATTTCAGGGTATTTGAGATGGAGAAGGTCAAATTCGGTCGTCGTTTAAAAGGTGTTTGTTTGATTGCCAGAAAATTCTATGATATTTGTGATTTGCAGTATTTTTATAAGCCAGTATTTAGGCTGTATCTAACCCCGGGGTAGAGCTTACGGTATTTCCAAGCTCTTAATTGGTTCCTTTTTCCTTGCATCCTAGAGTGGAAGAATGATGCGAACCAACTCCCCCGTCTCCTGAAATAACCAACAATTAAACACAAATGTTACGCTCTGCTTTTTTTCCTTTCTCAGTTTCCACTGGTCTGGCAAAGTATCTCTCGTAAATTTGTGCTTAGCACCTTTCTAGACAAGTTTACTTTTCTTCTGTTTTTGTCTTAGTTCCGAAGCTTTTGTATTTAACCTCCAGTTGTTTTGGTTTCCCTGTTTCAACAATCAACAAATATACAAAGCCTCATTCATTCGGAATAGTGAATTGTGTTTCGCAATGTTCATCTCTCGTACTCAAGAGTCACGCCATTGGAAAGCAGCGACAGAACCCTTATACCGTTGCTTGGAATGCCAGCAGAATTCACCAAAAAAGCTAACGTTGTCTATTAGCTGTAAATAAATTGTAAAAGACAAAATTAGGGTAACAACAAAAATGACGAAATGTACTGAATAACATTAAAGCGTGAATATCACTCTGTTCAGTAAAGTTCTCTCCCTAGCTGTTACCGGTGTCTTCCCCGGCATTTCTGTAAAGAGAGAGATTGATTAATCATCCCACATTTCTCATAACTCAATAATGGATTTTCACAGTTGTTGCTGATTATAACGTGTTTTTTTTTCCAATTCCAAGACAAATCACTTTTGATTGACATGCCACGTGAACAATGGGTGCTGGGTTAAAGCTCATCAATGTAGACGTTTAACTCTGGATTCAGTATTATGAAATACCTACAAATATTATATGGCTAACTTCATGAGCGGGCAAGATGAACCGAATCCTGCGCTGTAATTGGCCACCCGAGCGCGCAAGATGGCGCTTTTGTTCGGTCAAGATGACTGGATATTGCCGGCCCTCGTTCTTTTATTTTTTTTGCGTGTTTATGGACCTCCGCCTGGACCTTGAGTCCCCCCGTAGTAATTCCCAGGGCGTTTTTTTTTTTAATTAACAGAAAGCTGGCAGCAGAGGTGATCCGCTAAAAATATGTCACAGCTGAAATATACCTGACACTGACTCTTGGGTCAGGTTGCTGGAAAGCTTAACAGTAATTGATGATTAAAAGGTGATCCAGGTTTTAATTTCATGTGTACCGATAGTGCTCTTCAAGAATTTTAAGATTTATAAGAAGACCACACTGAAATAGGTATAAAACAGAAAAAAAAAGTTCATGATTGCTTTAGGTTAGCTTTAAGGACAGTGCCAACTTTTGTTAGTGCGCACATGGCATGGTTTATGCGCCACGCGCGCTCTAGGGTTGAAAGACTTTAAATTGACGTAATCAACTACCTTCCCACCATCCTTGTTTGACTCAATCCCGCCATACCACCCCAGTCGGAAAGTCGCCTAGTCAGAGTCACAGTTCTCCGTACAACGTCGTCCGTGAAGCCTACGATTTTCTGTGTTTCATCCCGCATCCCGCCTAGCTGTCAAAATGAGAAAATCTCGCTTCCGCCAAAGTATTTTTATCCCGCATCCCGCACTTAAAATTTCTGTCATCCCCCATCCCGCCCTCATGTTTACTCTCATCCCGCCTCCCGCCAAACCTATGTTGGACCCTCAACTACGCTTCAAGTACGCGACTAAAACGAAAGCAAAATTTTCCTACTGTGACCAAATCAATTCTAATGAACCTGCACTAAAACCAGAAATATCAAAATAGCAGAATATAGATAACCACTAATGCTAAAGGCTTCATGTTAAAACAGATATTTCCAGGATTGAACGCTAATGAGATTCAAATTCCTTATGATAAGCATCACAGTGTCCTCAATGGTGCAAAGTCACCAAAACACACACAATTCTGTCAAATATGAAGTAATATGAAAATGTCAAATAACCCTGCCAAATATGAAGTACTAATTAAACAATACTTGCGTTCAATCCTGGACATAAGTGTGTTAAAAGCCAGCTCTGATCTATAGAACAGTATACTGAACTCCATCTGTAAACATTTACCTGCAGATCACTTAGTGCGCGCGCAAAACAAGTGCAAGGGACGCATGTTTGAATTCCTGTGGAGATAACAGGACAAAATGCAACGGGCACCAAAGTGAAACGTTTTCAAAATTGATGAAAACAACTCATTTAACTTTAAAAAAACGCGTGGCTACCCCTGCATTTTATGTATTATTTTATGCAAGCCTATTCAATACGTGATTAGTTTGTGGTTGTGAGTGTTTGCCCGCTAAACCAGACGAGAGCTGTCAAGGAACTAAAAAGCGCTTTTGCAACGATTTTGTTATTAAAATCATACCAAAAGTGGTTTTTATGCTACCATTTACGATGTTGTTTAAACATGTTTATAGCGGAGCTCAGACGAAGGTTCGTCAAGCGGAGCACCATAACCATAGGAGCTCATAGGAACAGAACCACATGCATGCGTAGAAACGTGAACTTTTTTTTACCACACATCTTTCTTTTTCTGCTCTTCTAGTCACACTGTCGTATTAAAGCAATAAAAGGGATCGCTATGGAGAAATCGTCGCGCAGTTGTGCAGTCTCTTAGTTTAACCTGACGTGGTTTCATTTTGACTGGTATGCGCGCGGACTGTGCACTAGCCTAGCGAGTAACAGGCTTTAAAACAGCAGCAAACAAAATTCAAAAACTTATCTTCCTGATTATGCTTGCAGTGCTATTCCGAAAAATTCTGCTTAACTAGACTCTGCTCGGTTTAGAAACATAACGCCAAAATGATGCAAGAAAAATCGTGAAACCTAGAAGTTCCGGTTATAAACACAGGGAACCCAGCTTATGAAAACAGTGTGTCGGTTGTTGTAAGCTAATACATAGCTCAGTATTTTGCATCGAAATACAAGAGAAGGTCAATGAAAATAATTGAATTGTCCTACAGAAATGGGCTCTACAAGTCAGAGTTTCTAGTTCATTCGATTTTTCGGTCACATTAATTTACTAACTCAGTTTGTCCATTGTTAATAGAGGGAGATGATTAAGAAGCCCAGTAATGATCAAAGAAGCAAACAGACTAAGATATATGTTTGAAGGTCCTTGACTATGCACATCTTTTGTTTCATGTTTATTGACTATGTATGAATTATATAAACACAATGCTTCTATTGGCTAGTTGTATGAGCACACATAACCACCTTTTGTATTTTGTCAGGTTTTTTGCAGGGTCAACCCCCAAAATAGCCAACAAAAACATACAACAAAGAACTTTGCCTGGTTTCTTAACCATTTCCCTCTATTAACTATGGTGAGTCAGAGATCAAAAATACCTTCTAAGCTTTATTTTCACGCCTTAATGCATACAAGCTTGCTACACAGGAGGCTTCAAAACGCAGTGATACCAAACACTGCGCGTCACTATCAAAACAATATATGACGTCTTATCTTATAAAAACGCAAATATTACAAATCCATGCGATAACCATCTTTGAACAACAGTGACACTTGGTGCTGATACATCGACTAACATAAATAGACACGCACGCGGGGTAAAATATCATTATTTATCTTGACTCCTCAGTATGATACGTGTCATGTCCAAGTCCACAACCACGATTCAATTACGGAGGAGTTTAGACGCACACAAATATACGCTGTCCTCAATAGGGTCGCTTAAGCCAAACCAAATCGTTGTGTAGTCCATTGAAACTTGCTCCAAGTTGACAGAGTAGATGTGTAGCATTGTAGATTTTTGAACTTCCAGGCATCACGAGCACAACATGTGAATAACTCATGTTTCTTCAACTACCGAGTCCACGTGACTATTAACATCCGGGTGTCTATGCTCTGTAGTAATTAGACCTTGGAGAAGGATCTTGTATTGAGTTGTGACGTCACTCTTCACTGTCAGCTAGAAATGGAGGAACAAGAGAAAAAAACAAACATCAGCTTGGTTGCAATCAACTCATTTCTGGAAAATGCACACCCTTGCTACTCGCGAAGTTTTTGGTTGGTTGGTTTTTTTCAAGTTCTTTCTCAAATACATTAATGATTCGTCAATTTTAAACCTAGAAAAATATGATCGTGACGGTGTTTGGATGTTTGATCTTAATTAGCATAGATTTTTACCATTTTATTTCTCCGTTTCTCCTTAGTTTTAGTTTCAATTGAGAAGATATATCAAACACCCAAGACACATTTCCAAACGCCTCGAAGTTCGTCAAAAATACTCCGCTACGCGTTGTATTTTCAACTCTCTTCTGGGTGGTTGGAAAGGTAGTCAAACAAGGTCTCTCGTATTTGATATATTACTAGTCAATCAACCAGGCAAAAAGCTGACCTACTTGATCTTTGCATCGCCTCACTGACCGAGCCCAACAGAAGAACGGCCGAGAGTTCGAAAACTAAAAACAATTAAAAACTTTGTCCCCACGCTTAAGTGTGCCAATTCGTTTCACTATGATGGGCGTACTTTTCGAAATTATGTTATTTTATTTTTAATGTCTGCTATAAGAATTGGCGAGATGATACTCTTAACTTACCATTGTGCTGGTATTAACAGGTTCATTGGGCTGTGAAAAACAACAAACAACGAAATTACTGTGAGACAAAGTTACAGCAAACTCAAGTCTCAAGTATGACTCTTACAGATCACGGAATTGACACCATAAAATGTTTACAATCAGAACAACGTTTTAGACATTTTGAACTGAAAAATGTAGTCAATTTGTTTCTTTTACAACAAAAATCAAATTTTACGCGAGAATTAGGAGGAAAATTGAATGTAAAACCGCACTTCTAATGATAAAGACATTTTTGGTGTCGCTGCCATTCCTCTGATACTGTGCTATTGAATTAAACCCTAACAACTTATTTTTGTAAGAAAGTCGTCCCAGTTTGCGCATCTTGAAAAGTTTAGCCTAAATTTTTCAAGTTCATCATTTGTGATCCGTGTCTCCATCCTCAACCAACCTTGTCCCTTTATGTATGGGTTATTGACCAAGTGTGAGGTCAAGATGGCTGGATATTGGNACTTACGTCATGTCCTGCAGGAGGTTGCCACCGAAACACGATGTTCTTTTTTACGCCAATATCGACACCCGCCTGTAATGCAGAAACAAACACAAATTAAACACAATCCTCTAGCCATTAAGCAATCTTTCCCAGGAAATACCGCGTAAAGATCAAAATAAACGTCTGCAAAAGCGGCTATGGAAAACGTGAAATTCAAAAACTCGCACCTTAAGAGGTTCAAAGTTAAATCCTCTCTCGTTAGCCTCCTTGGGATTGTCAAAGTAAAAGTCACAGGACTGCAAAGAAAACATACAAATTATTATTACCGAAAGGAAACCAAAGCCAAAGTGTTCACAGCTGACCAATCACAACGCGCATAAGTGTCACAGTGAACCAATCAGAGCCTGCGTTAAAACCTTTGCAATCGACGGAAAGCGCGGGNGTGTGGCTTCATAGCTCAGTTGGTAGAGCATCGCACCGGTATCGCGGAGGTCACCGGTTGAAATCCCGTTGAAGCCCTGATTTTTTTCAGGCTTCTTCTTTCCAATTGCTTAAATTGGAAAATTTACTGCGATGATCATTCTTCACTTTGAGAAAACAATATCTTTGTCCTGATTGGCTGGACCGGCTGAACCAAGCTGCAGACAGCTTTTCTTTTTAACCAAACACAGAGCTTAGCAAACATAAATCAAAACAAACGAAACAAAGATTGCTTTTAACAACTAATCTCTGAATCAGTGACAAAAGTTCAGTTTGCCTTGCACATCAAAGGTGGAAGTCTTTTCATACCTTTTTAGTTTGTATACTGGACTTGATGCAGCCAATCTCTACGGCTCTTTCCGCGGCCTCAAATCCATCTGGAGTTGAAACGCTCTTCATTGTCAATAGGACAGTCTTCTGGATTGCTTTTCCATCTACAATAAATCATTTTTTTATTAAGTAAAACGCTTTCTACTCAACCTCTGTTAAATCTATGGGAAGCGACGTAATCTAATGGCTGGCGCGTAAGACTCCAGATCAAGCGATCCTGCTTTCGATAAACGCTGGCCGTCAGTGATCGCTGAGTTATGTTGTTGAATGAACAAACCTCGGTAAGCTAAGGTAAGGTAAAGTAAGGTAAGTACAGACTTACAAGAGTCAAGAATAGACTTTTTAAGTCCTTGGCTAAAACCAAAAACGCGTATTAGAGATTTTTGCAAGTCAGTTTGTAGCCATTACAGCCCCGTACGAAACTGCGTGCGGAAGGGTTTGGTTAGCGTTTGTCGTTCAAACTGCTGTCAATCATCTTTTCGAAGACAAACGAATTTTGCCGAGCGACGTTATCAGATACACCCGTTGCACATGTCGAACTCGCTTCAAACTGGTTTCTAGTCCATTGCAGCGGTGGGTGAGATTCACTGAAGCTTAAACTGCTAACAGTTTGCTCGATATTTCATCTGTTTAGTTCGCATACCAATAATTGTGACTTACGTTGCAATAAAACGTAGACAAGATTATGAGGCTTAACAAGACCAAGAACATTATGAAATTTGTGTGTAGTTAGTTATAACTAGAACGCAGACCTTCTTCTTCCTCCTCCTCCACTTCTGCTCTTAGTGATTCAGCACTGGGCATCAGCTCGTCCCAGCCCCTCAAGTACACGATATTTGACCAGGCGCGGCCCAGTAGCTTGACAGAGTAGGGTTGTTCCTAAAATTCAGCGCGAAAAAGGGATCAGGTACTTTAACAGAACCACAATAATTACAAATCAAATTCTTAAGTCTTCTCCTTGGCAAAAAACTTTTGGTGCGAACAGCGAGTTTTACACAAGTCGTGTCGTGATTGAGTTGGGCATGCCCAGTCGTTTCTCTCCGCTGGCGTGAAACAACGTAGGCTTCGTAACCATAAGTAAGTTATTCTTTGTGAATAAAAAACAGATAACAAACTGAATCGAAAGAACTCTGAAAAATAACAGTACACTAACGCAAAAAAACCGACAAAATTGGAATTACAAACGAAACGAGAAAACGGATGGCAAAGATTGGTGAAAATTGAAGCGGACTAAAAACACAGAAATTAATGAAATGGCGCAAGCTTTTATTTGCCGTTCGCCTTTAATTGGCAGTGCAGTTAAGGTCCAGGTGCACGATCAAGAGTTGAATTACTTACCCCGTTATTAATTTCAACAGAAACTTCGTCAGCGTAAAGCTCACTAGCGTGATCCGGGTTAAACGATATTGTGATTTCGTTAGACTCGCCTGTAATCAATTACACACAAAAACATATAAATAAATAAAAGCGTCAGTAAATGTATACACTTAACAGCCATTGAAACGAATAGGACTTATTACGTAGTTTGAAGAAAATTTCCTGTTTTTTANTATGCGCAGTAAGGATGCGCAATGCAAATGTGAGGAATGACCTTAACAGCCATTGAAACGGAAAGGACTTATTACGTAGTTTGAAGGAAATTTCCTGTTTTTTAAGTCTACCTGGGCCAATGATCCCTTGGGCCGGAACACAGTCAAATACAGCCATACCATTGTAGTTGGACGGACCTGAGAGAGAGAAAAAGATTCATTTTCAAGGCAAGAGATGTTACATAAAGACCAGAAGTGACATGTAGTCCATAATAGTCTCACCTAACGCATGCTGCTGAGTTTCTGGTAATTCGTTAAACGGCGGGAGGAACCTGGGTAACACTTGTGCGCGGCTGTGACGTAATGGCGATAAGCTGTCAAGCTTCAGTGAATAGGTGATTGACAGCTCTGACGTGTTGGAGATCTGGAAAAGAAAACCCATTAAAAAAGATTTAACACTTGCAGACCAACGCACGGAGTTTCTTATTGATCAATCAAAAGATTGCTCGAGCAACTCTCGTCAATTCGCTGCGATTGGAACTGTGGACTCGTGCAACGTCCACACCACGCCGAAGAAATTTGAAAACACAGCTTTATTTCTACGGTTAGGCCTATCGTCCACACTAATCCATCATGAAAACGGAGCTTTTTGAAAACACTCTTCAAACCGGATGAATTTGAAAACGCCGGATTTTCGTTTTCGTGCGAGAGGAAAAGATTTTGAAAACAGAGCTTTTTCNACTAATTGATTCATTAATCGACAAATCACCCCAGAAGTCAAAAAAGACCTGCACTTACCCGCAATGGCTCATCGGAGATATTTTGGATGGTGAAACTTTTAACTTCGCATTGACCTTGTGAGAAGAAAACAGATACACAATTAGCCTAGTAAAGAGACGCTTGTCTTAACGCACTCAGTTCCTTACTCGCACGAGACTTGAGCCGAAACGTGGTTCTACAAGGTTTCTTGCAGAGTTTTAAACCAGAGTTACGACCAATCAGAGGTTGTTGTCTGTAAGTTACGTCATCAGTTTGGACTGTTTCGGGTCCAGTCTCAACATTTTTTTCCGGCAGGCAACATTGTTTATCATCAACATCAACATCCTCATGTCCTGCGAAATGTCAGATACTGTTCTACGATTCAAAGCGTCATTTGTGAGCGTAATTTCGTTCGTTTTTGACTTAAACACAGTTGCAGGCTCAGTTTTTCCTTGGCTTGATTATCACTTTCCCCCGCTTCACATTTACTAGCAAAAGTTAACATAAACTAATATCACCCTCAATGAAAAGGGACATTTTCTTCCAAGACTAAGCTATTACATATGGAATCACTTAGAGATAAATTTTTTTGTCTCGTCCTTACCTAGTGACACATTTGCAAAGTCCACAACGGACCTTCCACAATCAGAGACCACGACTATATGGGGTCGCACAGCCGGGCAATGCACCTCTAGGTATAGAGTGTTGTGTACACTACGAGAGCAGAAAGAAGAATTCAACAAAGCTAGNCATTTACCAGTTTACATAGCCTCCCACAGATTGAACAAAGCTTACAAGATGTTCATATAGAGCGGGTCAAGACGCCAACGGGATTTTCAAGGGAAAGGCATGGATTAAAGCCGTCATCCAGCAGCATGTGTCTCACCTGCATGACAAGGACTCTGGTTCAGTGCATCTTCCCGGCGCGACAAAGCAAGGAATCACGTACCGCGAAAACGCGTTCTGATAAGTCCTGAGTAGAGCTAGGTGAGCTGACTCGTATTCATTGCAACTGAAAGGAACGAACAAAGGAATTTCTGAGCTGTGCAAGCAGTCAGCTCCTCCTTCAGATAGTCCAAAACAAAAATTCGACTTTCAAACCATATTTTGGTTTCTCAACAAGTCTCTACCCCGTCAGTCTCAAGATTGGAATAGAATATTAATTTTCTTCACTGATCGCCACGCACTTTTTAATGTTAGTTGTAAGAATTCAGTGGTTCATCAAGGAAATGCCTGTTAGAAATTGAAAGCTAGTAATTTAAAACATTGTATATGAAACTTCATTGAATAACAGCCAGAAAACAGCCAGCATCTTTGTGAAAAGTATCTAGGTCTTACCCGTCAACAACATCATCGATACTGAAAGTTCTTGCGGGGGACTTGGTACTAGTGGTGAGGTTTGGCGCGCTCGGTGTACCGCCTCGTTTTGGTGATGTCTTGGCGCTTTTTCCCGCGGGAGCAGCTTTCCCGCCTTTCTTTTTCTATAGGAAAATGAAAAGCATGTAGTCACCAGCTGAAGAAGAATCCAAGACTACTTATAAAAGAGCTCACTCACAGTATTTTGAGTTATTTTGGCCGCGTACAGGATTACCTTTAAATTGAAGGAAACCTGAAAATAGTAGTTTACTAAGATAGAAAAGCATCAAAGAGATAATAATAAACCATAAAGAAACAAGGATGGCTAAGGATGGAAAAGATTCACACGGATTACCATCGGCGAACTTGAAAAATTAACGCTAAACTTTCATGATGCGCAAACCGTGACGTAACTCCTTTAAACATGGCTTCAAGACTAATTCAAGATGGCTCATCTATCGCTTGGCTCTTTTAAGGTGGCTGGCATCAGTTTTTGAGTTATTAGCACGTGAAACTAAAATTAAGGGTGGTTTTAGCAGGCCATACTGTTGCTAAGGTAGCCCATAGTGTCACGAAAATGACAAAAACGTGTTCACCGATGATTGAGTAGTTGTTTAGTTGTTTGACACCATGAATGTAGCATCAACTGAGAAAGAGTGTTTATAATGACCCATCAAAATCAAAGTCTTGGAAAGTGCTGGAAACTGTCGCCTGCCAACTCAAAAGTATATTAGCAGCCGTTATTTGGTTTGTCATGAAACTATCCTGATCGTCGTCACGCAATGTTCTTCTTCATTGAAGGTGGTCGTGACGCACATAACGTGACGGTGGTCACGTAAAAACTTTCCCCACTAGAGAAAATAAGCAAACCACGATGGCAACAGCAACGAGAACGCCACCAATATATCTTTCTCTCATACATCTTGGTGCATTTCTTTGCCGTCCTGTGCACAACAACGACGTGAAATGACCAAGTTCTGCGTATTTTGGAGAACGCGAACGACAGCGGCTAATTTTTTGTATTTTCATTTGGAAATGAACGCTGGCATCACTGTTATACATATTCACCTTAAGCAAGCTCTGACACCGATAGCCGCACTGAACAGATCTAGACAACTGCGAATTTTGAAGGTAAAATATAAATTCAGTTTTTACTAAGCGTTGTCCTCGGCGTCGCCGTCGTCATTGTTTATTAGGCTGATTTAGCAGCAGGACGGGAACGTCAGATGACGACTGCAGGGCGCGCAGAATAGCCTGGATTCTGTTCTAATTTGACCATATTTGGGTATTTGTACTGCG